CAATCCATTCTCCACCCAGCTTGTATCTGTACTTGTAATATATCAGTGAGGATTCTCATCTACCTTTAGAACCTGGTGTGCAGTGTGACTCTTCCTTATCTTTTGCTAATGGGTCTGCAGTGCACCGCGGAGACATGGCTGGAAGTTGCACTGCCATCATCTATTGCAAGGGGAATGCAGTTTTAGTAACTGATGAGCTAGCAATGAATGCAGCTGATATGTGCCCTAAAAACAAGGAGACCCATATAGCAAACAGGCCAAGAGCAGCACTGCCCAGATATGTACAGTGGTGGGGGGAGTGAGGTGCTGCAAGCCTTGCCCAACTCAAGGGGAAATTGATCTCCTAAATCTGGCCTGCAGGAAGGCAGCTATCTCTCTACCTGGGATTCACATATGTGAGGCCAGTAAGACATCCACACCCCACCAAATCTTTTCCCCAAGATGATGGAAAGGCCTCTTTTTAAGTAGTTGCTCAGTGGGAAGAGCCACTCACCTGCATGGTGGAACGTCTGCAGGCATGTCCCACCTCCCATCCCATTAGCCCAGCCCAGGTCATCACCCTGTCATGGCATGTGGGCTGCTGTGACAGCAGCCCGAGAGACTGCGTCTCATCCCAGTAGGCAATTTGGAGGTCGTGTGAGAAGCCGGGCACAGGGTGTTCCTGCTGGGACAGAGGGCACAAGGTGCTGCTAGAACTGTTGGTGGCGTGGCAGCCTGCGCCGGTTTGTAAGGAAGCTCCCGCGCATCTCAAGCTTACGCCAAAGCGCCGCTGCTTCAGACAAGCCCTTGTAATGACCTTTCTCTGAATTTTTATCTCAAGAGTTTTACCTTCTACTCTATGAAAACCTGGATAAACATCACAGTGTATCATTAATCTGGATGTAGTAGCTTTCGGTTCCTGGTGTTCAAGCCTATCACTCTTAGTTGTCTTCAGAATAAAAAATCTGCTTCCTTAGTGACCCAAGTTGAATTGAAATAGAAAATAATTTGCCAGAAATTGGTTTATGACTGAAAGTTCAGAATAATTTACTCCATATATATAAGTCTACACTGCAGTGCTTTCCTTCAAGAAATCTGTCTGTGTGTATGTATGCAGCAGCCCTCGTTACCAGTATTGTAATTGCCACTACCTTCAAAGGCTGTCTCTGTATATGATTACTCAAAAGTATTGAAAGTGTTTGCTAGAGTGCTCTGAGCAGTTTGTGTAAATAATTGAAAGTGTCCTATTTTAGGGTCTAATAGCTCTTGTCATCTTCAGTTTTATCAGTTAAAAAAAATGTTCTTGCTTTCCTAATGCAACCTTGTTGATGTGAGGAAGAGTGTAAGAGACAGACACTTTCTGTGTGCTTTGAATTTCTGCGTGTGCTGACTAAGCAGACTTTGTAAGAAAATGCTTGAAGTGTGTTCGGGGGTCAGTATGGAAAGATGCTTTAACCAGGTTTCATAAGTGGAAATTAATACTGAAAATAAAATGTTAATCAGCAGTGTTAATTCCATCCAACCGTTTCGCTACGCTACCACAAGTTATTTTTCCATTCTAGATTGCATTATGGGTATCTTGAAAGGTTTTGGTTTGTTTAATGCTTGCATATCAAGAAACAGTAGCTAAATCAAATTTCTGGTTTTGCTTAACAACTTGGGGTTCTTCTGCTTTAAATATTGCTCTTAATTCTCTTGTGCTTCTTCGATACAGTATTGCATGACAGAACTTACAGGAAGCTGAACGCTGTCCTGCCCCACTCTGGCCCTCACCAGTATTTAGCATATGCAGTGGTTTAAAAAAAAAAAATCCAGCATTCCTACCTGTTGAAAACAGATTGGAAATTTCTACCCACTGTGCTACATTGCTGTTTAGATGGCTACTCACAGGGTACAGCTTTGCTTTATGTCTCATAGCAGTGTATGGTTTAAATCGAGGGAGGTTGTCGGTATGTCAGTAGGAAAGTTGCCCTTGACGTTGATGGGGGCAGACCCATAGCTCATGTCCCCAGTGAAACGCCACAGTGCAGATGTCTCAGAGGCCTTTGCCAGGCTTGTACTTAGTCTGCCTCAGCCACAGAAGGGTACAGCTCCTCTGCCAAGGGGTAAAGCAGTCAAGGAATTTTTCTCAACCTAAATCAAGCAGATGACCTGTTGGGATCTTAAGAATTTAAGAGCTTTTATTTTTTTTTTTTTTTTTTAAACTGGGGAAAAAAGAATTCAAGACACATCTTGTCCAGGCTGCTTTGACGGTTTTCATTGGCAATGAAATTAAAAGCTAGCCTGAGCTCTGAATGTTCATTATTTTTGGCATTTTTCCCTTGTTTTGCTACCTCGTGTGTATACATGGGACTATGAGGGAGCGGAGTGATGACGAAAGGGGTGACTTCTGTTACATTCGCTAGTAATTTTTTTGCAGTGGTTTCTTGCTGGTTTGCAGGCCACTGCTAGGGAAGCATCCCTGTAAAAGGTGTTCTCTCAGCTGGGTTTGAAGTAAAGCCAAGGTCAGAAGGGGCACGTGTGATCCAGCACAGAGGCTCGGAGACCAAAGCATGGTTTCCAAACCCACTGTTTGCTTACCCCTGCCCAGCACCGTTTTCCAGCTATAATCAACCTGAGGCTACTCCGGATGCTTGGCTACAAACAGAACCCCCCTCCTCAGCAAAGCAGTGCATGTCCTTAAGGTTGTCTTCATTTGGTAAAACACCTGAACACATGCTTTGCTTGCTTGAATATGTGCTTGCTTAAGATCTCCTGTTTTGAACCTTTTCTTGCCATTCGTAAGCCATCTGTAACGGCCACCCCCTGTAGATGCACGTGAGTATGCGTGCCCATGAGCATCCCACTGAGCCCAGCCACACACACTTCTGCCTGAAAACTGCTCTTGTGCATAATGTTTGCCAGATTGAGGCCTTGCTTTATAACTAATTTAAAAACTAAATGAAATGTTTCTTCTCCAGAAGAGAGATTCTGCTGCGGAAATGTGCATTAAGCAGTTGGGGCATTAAAGGTTTTAATATCCGAGCTCCATTAAACGAATTGTTTTATCATTTGCAGAGGATTCATTACTTTCTAAGAGGCCTTTTGTCAAATAAGCATTTTGCAAACTAAGCTAATCAGCTCTGTTCCTGTTTATAATTCTCCCACTACAAATATTTATACAATGTAATTTGTCCTTCTGCTTTCCTGCCTATCTAAGCACAAGCACATTAAAATTTTTCTGAGGTGCTGCTGTGTTCAGAAAAGCCCTACAGGATATAATAGAAAATTATAAACTCTTTATAGTTTTGGTTGGGTTTTTTTTTTTTTTTTTTGTAGCCATTACAGAGGGTTGAACAGAGCCAGCAGGAGAGACAAAGGGCCATGCTAACTGGTGCCAGACGTGCCACTGTATCCCTCTTTGCTCGCATGCTTTTTTTTTTGCTTCCCCCACTTCACCCCAGTGCTGCCAGGAGTGATGCCAGAAACTATACCCCTTGCACTGTTCTTCTGGTGCACAGAGGCTGGATTTGTCAGGGAGATATTTGGCTTCTTGTGGAAGATGAGGCAGCCACGCCGGGGGTCTCCACCATGCTTCTGTCTCCAAACTGGCAAGCTGGCCCCGTGCCCAGGCACTGCAGGACAGGCTGCTGTCCAGAACACATGCTCACTCCCCTTGCGAGCCTGTTGCACAAGGCCCATGGGGTGCACCGAGGCACTTGCTGGCATTTAGCATCTGTGGCTGTCAGTAGGCAGAAGAGGTGGCTCAAAGCTGCTCTTGGCAGTCAGGGGTTGGATGTCAGGGTAGCACATGCCCCGGGAGGGTCTGCCCCATCCATGCTGCCCCAGCATCTCCCTGTGCGCATCAGTGGCACTGGTGGATGGGGCAGCAGGGAGGGGAAGGGGCCGCCCCCCATGCTCCTCAGTCCCGGTGGTGTCCCCAGCTCTGTTCCAGCAGACAGAACTAGGCTGAAGAAGAAACCTGAGGACTGAGGTCACCAGAGCTTGGGCAGTGGCTGTTGGCATCCTCTGCTTGCAAGGTGTGCATGGGCACCCTCACTAAGATCTTTCTGTCCCATGCCAAGCCTTATCAAGCAGCACAAGACAATTAAGCTTCACTTGGCATTGAAAGCGATGTGGGTGGCATTCACGTGGGGAGCCAGGAGGAGCTTTTCTGATGGAAACAGGAACGTTGCTTGTCCCACCTGACTGACCTGTGTCTTAACTGTGCTTGTTGTTTTCAGGCGTTCACGATTCAGGGGCAGTATGCCATCCCTCATCCAGACGTGAGTCCTGCGTGTGTAAATTACTCCCTTTTTCATCCTCTGCCTCCTATTTGTTCTGGGCAACATTTGCTTTCTACAGTTACCAATAAGGACGTGGCCTAAGGACACTTTTCCTGAACAACACACACTGTAGAGCTATGTGTTAGCTCAGCTGCATCTCCTACCTTTCCTAATAATTGCTAGAAAGTACAATGGCCCAGGAACAAATGACAATTACCTTGGTCTTTCTTTGCATGTGATATATTTGAGTTCTTTTAATATGTAATTCTACAGTGATTAGTTAATATTAACAATAGCCATTACATGTAATAACAGTAGAGATGTCATTTATAACCAGTTTGAGTTGGGTTTTTTTTCTCTAAGGTAGATTAGAATGAATGATTAAACCTCTTTTTTTTTCAATATAATTTTAATTAATCCAGTTTTAGAACATATAAGATGGTTTCTCTGCTCTGAAATAATTCCATTTGATTGGTTAGTTCTAATTTCCCATCCTGCCCTGCAGTTGACCAAGCTTCACCAGTTGGCTATGCAGCATCCCCCCTTTACTCCCCTTGGGCAGACCACCCCTGGTTTCCCTGGTACGTACCCATGACCCCCTGGGGATGTCCTTCTTCTTAACAGCTTTGTTTCCCGTGGTCATTACATCATTTTAATAATAAATGTGGTCAATGACCAGCGATCCTTCTGTTTTTACACATTAATCTGTTCTTCCCCCCTGCCCCCTCCCCATGCCTCTGTTACAGTTCCTTTCATCATTACTAAAACGTGCTTTGTTTGTTACATTTATTTAATCAGAACTGCTTCATTTGTGCCATCAGCTAAAACCCCTGAGTTTCTTTTGTTCAGCCCTTGTAAAGTTATTACGGACCATACAGTATGTACTAGTTGGTCCCAAGTGAAGTACTTGGGCGTGCATCTTGCTAAATTTGCAGTTTGGTAACATGGTTCAGAAAGAAGCAAACATAAGAAAACAGTAGGTAATCGCAGTACAGAAATACCGATTAAAGAAATCACAGCATGCTGAAAGTCAGGCTCCTTGCAGAGCCATATGTCTTGAGAGCGTCTGTAATCATCGTTGCTGGGACAAGTGCCTCTCTTCCTCCTGGATATGCAGACAGAGATACAAAATGCAATGGAAATGTAGTTAAATTAAGGACTGCAAATTTGGACCATGCTTACTAAAGCTGAAGCTGAATTTTTGATTCAAGAGCGAGAAGTCTATTAACACTGCAATAAAGCATTTTTACTGTACTTCACTACATACCTGCTTGGCATTTAAAAACTTCACAGAACAGAAGTACATAGGTACTGGTACATGCTTTGTATGGCTAATAACATTTTATCACATACATCAAAAATCTGTGAGCAGCTGGATTGCTTTACATTCAGTGTAAAATAAGCATATGCAACTCTTAATTGAATGTAAACATAAGTAAAACGTAGGTGAGTAACTCTTTCTTAAGAGTATTTCTTTTCTAGTTGGAAATGAGTATTTTTGGCATATCTTTACAATAATAAGAAGAATAATAAACACCAAAGAAAAAAGAGAAAAGGAGAGAAAGATAAATGATATCCAAAATATACTTTTGTTTCTTCGTGATGTATCTGATAAAATATCTACAAGTAGTACTAAATTACCTTTCCTAGCTTTACATTTTCCCGATTCTTATCATTAACATGCTGCTCCTTAATCTTTTCCTGGTTATATTTGTGAGATGTACGTTTCTGTAATGTTACTGTATGTTAGAGTAGTAATTCCATTTTTCCTCAGCATCTTCCTTTTGTCCACCCAATTTACAAACAAATGTATGCAGTGTAGAGTATTTTGTACATCTCCCTTCAAAAACTACCCTTCCCAAGATTTCTTCAGCAACTAATCCCACATATAATTTCCAAATTTTCCTAGGTTAATTTCTTCATCCTTATTTTAATTACGGGTTTTTCTTTTTCATATCTGTGTATTTTGTTCTTCTAATTGTTCGTTTGACGTCCACATTTATTCTCCGTATTCTAGAACTCTGGGTAGACAGGTCAAACTTCAGCCATCCATTAATTTCTCAATTGATGTGTTTGGAACAAACTTCAGAGACTATTTTTAGGGGAAACCCTTCATTTTCTAGAAGCTTTTTATGACCCTGTGGAATCTCATATGACATTTGTTGCTTTGGTGGGTTAAAGGTTAATTAAGACAAGACTCATTTACAATTAGTCAAGCTGTCTGAGTTTTGCATCTCTTGCTTTCTTTTCTGTTTTGCTAGCAGTTCTCTTATTTTCTTTGCTCCTCTTTATTTTTTGTTTTTCCTTCTTTCTGTATGCTTTCTTCTTTAAAATATCATTTGTTGTGTCTTACCCTTCTTACAAACTGGCGTAACATTTTCCCTCTGTCCCCTGAATAGGACTGGATGCCACTACTCCAACCAGTTCCCATGAACTTACTATTCCCAATGATGTAAGTGGACCAATAGTCAGTACAGTTTTTTTCTTCTCTCGCTCCTCTGCCACCTGAGGGGAAACCTCTCATCTTTGGCTGATTTGTAAAGATTAGTCCCCAAAATAAACTGTACAGCATTTAGTCTGTTGGGGAAGGGGGCATTAGGGGTTACTGAAATGCTGGAGGGAAGCAGATGTGACTGTCACCTCTCATGGCATGTCTCCAGCGATGCCGGTTTAGCTGCACGTTGCCAGTGCCACAGCGCTTCGCCGGCTTTTTTAAAGCCTGGGTGCCTCCTGCTTGCTGTGATCTTAGACGAGTTACCAAAATCCATCCCTTGGGTGGCATTAGCATGGGTGATCTCAGTAGACAGGTTAAAGGGGGTGGAAAAACGTGCAACCCCATGTGCTGTGTGTTGGGCTGGAGCCCACCGTGCCAGGGGGGTGGAGACCTTGCACTACAACAATTTGTGCCATGCCAGTCTGTGCTGCACCCCACGCTTATCTGAGATGGCATTTTTCCCATCAAAAAAGCTACTTCAGTTATGTAAATGTGCAACATAAAGGTTTATTTGAAAAACAAAGGCTAAAAACATTC